GGGACTCGATCCCGGGACTCCAGGATCATGACCTGAGCCAAAGGCAGTCGCTTAACCAACTGAGCCACCCAGGCGCCCCTGAGCATCTGACTCTTGATTCAGCCTCAGGTCATGATCTCAGGGTCGTGGGATCAAGCTCTGTGTTGGGCTCTGTGCTCATCGAGGAGCCTTCTGCTTGGGATTCTCTCTCTCCTTCTCCTTCTGCCCCCCCCCGCCACCCAGCATACGCACGCTTTCTCTCTCTCAAATAAATAAATCTTAAAAACAAAAACAAAACAGTGGGCAGTGAGAGAACTATTAAAGAAATACACTGGGGGACATTTTTTAAACATTAAATAAATTACTGGCAAACTTTTTACCACTGCCTGACTAAATTTTTAAAACTAATACATCAATTGTAAATTTTGTAAGAAGTTATATATAAACCACTTAAATATTTTTAAACTGACTTCAGCTCTATAAAGGGGAAAATAAGTTTTGAATGTTCGCTGAAACTCCAGTTAAAAAAATAAATAAGAAAGTATTTGTCTTCACCTGAAACTAATATAGCACTATGTGTTAAATATTGGAATTTAAAAAATATTTTTAAAAAAGTTATGTCTTCATCCCCAGTGACTTCACAAAAGTCCTAAAAGTGGATTCTCAGTTAACCTGAATCCTCTGAGGCATATTTAGTTCCATATAATAATTATATTCCTCGAAGTTACATGAAACCCCAGGCCACCTCGTTTTACTTGGCCACCCAGTCATGTCTAGTACCTTTGTCTAATGACTGCTCCTTCTAGTCTTGACCAGATTTTCTTCCACTAGGACCTGGTCTCTTTTAATTTCCTTTCTTTATTCCACATCAGTAATCAGAAAAGCTTAGTCTCTAAATAAAACTACCTGCGAAATAACTTGTCCAAACACCACCTTTAAGCACCAACTGATATTTTAGATTTTCCAGCCGTAGCAGAAGTGAACTGTTTCCAGGACCACAATGTTGAACAGGTCCTCAGTCGAATCCCCTGTTCACTCCAACATCCCCAGTTTACAGGTCATTAGATTGTCCTTAAGCATCTCCAGTGAAGGGAACTCAATCTGAAATAATCCCAGAAGAATCTCTAAAAGAAGCCTCCCTGGGCTCTCTACACCTTTTTCCCCATGGTGCCAATTAGTGTGACTTCTCTTTCTGTCATGTTTGAAACCGAAGCTCTCCACTGAATTTAAAACTGCCTGGGAACTTGGGGCCATGTCTCTGTACTCCCAGAGTAGTACATTAAATGCTTTCCCAGCTAATAAAATACATACATGCCTTTGGATCTCTAAAATTACAGTTGGATGTGTTCATCAATAAACACAGAACAAAGGTATGAGTAAGAGTAGGAGTAAGGCAAGAGTAAGACACTGAAGACCCAGTGCCTTGCTGCTGGAACCACTTGTTGCTGAAGTACTTATATCCTAAGATGACAATGAAGGAATCAAACTGATCTTGTTAAGAGTAATGTACTATTATCTACACTCTACATAATGATTTATATTTGTACACCGTTATCTCGAGAAAAGATTTGAAATAGCTTATAAAATTAAGCCCCAAATTAGAACTATAATGATTCAGTTAAACAACCAAGTGGTAATTCTCCAAAAAGGAGTTAGTTACTAAATTTGGTTTTTAAATCACTAGAGTATGAGTTCAAGGGTAGAGAAGGAAGTATGGGGGGGCAAAGATTCAGTACCGTCACTTTAAGAGGCAGCATTAATATCTTCAAAATTCCTGCAGTCTGTTTAGAAGTGATATTTAAAGGTCAGCAGGAAACATGGAAATAATTAGTGATGCTTCTGTACTGACACTGAGAACATGCTGCAGAAAACCTCTTAATTAATTCATGGAGATAATACCTAATCTAGCAAACTAACAACTAAATAGCAGCCCTGATGTATCAAAATGAAGAATGTAAGAAGACAGAATTATTTCAGGAAAATACAGTACATTGAAACACTTTCTTACAAGATGTGCCAAAAATAAAACTCACATAGTAAACATTTTGTAGAAAAGTCATGAGCCCTTTGGGGTCTGAATTCTAAGTGCCTAACAAGGCTGCACATTTCTCATAGTTGAAAAATAGTAACTGATTTTCTTTCAGGCCCTCTTCTGGGAAAGCACAGTTTCTAGAGGAATAATACAATAGTGACTCAATTTTTCAATTTATCTCTCAAGTAATGTCATGCAATTCAATGCCTGGAAAAGAAAAATTGTTACCTGAGCACCACTACAATTGGACTTTCACTTCCAGTTATGACCATTAGCCCCTTCCAGATCATTAGTGCCGAGGAGACAATCATTCCAAAATTTAGGACTTGATAATACAGCTGTAAGAACAAAAGAGAAGAAATGAGATCCATAATTATCCCCACTCAAGAAAGCAACTGAGAGTAGTATCAATTTAAAAGTTTCAAAAAAAAAAAACAAAAAACAAACAAACAAACAACACAACCATTTCAGGTAGTACTATTAGGACAGCTGAAGTTCTGAGACATTCTTTAAAATACTGTAATAGGGCGCCTGGGTGGCTCAGTTGGTTAAGCGACTGCCTTCAGCTCAGGTCATGATCCCGGAGTCCTGGGATCAAGTCCCACATTGGGCTTCTGGCTTGGCGGGGAGCCTGCTTCTCCCTCTGACCCTCTCCCCTCTCATGCTGTTTCTCTCTCTCTCTCTCTCTCAAATAAATAAAATCTTAAAAAAATAAAATAAAATAAAATAAAAATACTGTAATAATTATGCCATCACCATCCCAGCACAGCCTCCTATCCCCCAATAACCTCTCTCCTGTTTGGTCACTCAACGCACTACCCTTACATAATAACTTATGTTCAAAACTTTTCACAGACGGTATTTCATTTAGGCTTCACCACAATTCACTTTAAGTTCAATCACATCCGTGATACACACCACTGCTTCTCAATTCTTCTAGGACTAACTTTTCTACGTTTATTCCTTGAGAACAATGGGCTATTCAATGGAATTTAAACCCCCCTCCCTCATCTTACAGTTGAGAAAACTTAGCCTCAGACAGAGGAAATGACTGTGCCAAAGTCATACAGCTTGTCAGTCACATAATTAGGACTTGAAAGCCAGCCTTTTCTGTCTTACTAAATTTCCACTCCTCGACAAATTGTAAGATTCTACTTCAATAAGCAGATATGATACCAGAAAGGAATTTCAAGTGAGAGAAATAATGTGAGCTAATTGTGTTGGACTAAGGCTGGATAAGAGGATGATTGACTCATTTTTGTTATTTTAAAAAATAAATGTGCATGTGGACATTCTGCAAGACAACTGTTCTAGTCTTCAGAAATTCAACGTCATGAAAATAAAGGTGGGAGACTGTTCTAGATCCAAAAGGACTAAAGAGACATAACCAAATGTAATGCATAAACTTTGATTGATCTTGATTCAAAAGAATAAAATGTATATAAGAAAAAAATCCCAACTATAAAAGACATTTTGGGGGGTGCCTGGCTGGCTTAGTTAGTAGAGCAGCTTGCAACTGTTAATCTCGGGGTCATGAGTTTGAGCCCCACACTGGGCATAGAAATTACTTAAAAAAAAAAGAAGATGTTTTGGGGTCAATTGGGGTAACTCAAATATGAAATGTTGGTAGGAAATTAATGTTAATTTTCTTTGGTGTGATAACAGTATTATGGTTATGTTAGATACTGCATGCTAGTAGTAGCTAGCCAATGGTAGTAGTTAGGGGTGAACTGTCATATCTGCAACCCATATCAAATGATTCAGAAAAAAAATTATATGCACACATAAGTACACAGAGAGTAAATATGGCAAAATGTTAACAACTGTTGAATCTATGTGGTAGCTCACAGGTGTTTGTATAGTATTCTTCAATTTTTTTCAGCTTTATTGAGATATAATTGACAAATACAAATGTAAGATTGAACTCAAAACCCTGAGATCAAGAGCTGCATGCTCTACCAACTAAGCTAGTCAGATGCCCCCAAAGTGTAAGATATTTAAAGTGGATCACATGAGGGGGTGCCTGGGTGGCTCAGTTGGTTAACCGTCTTAACTCTTGATTTCGGCTCAGATCACGATCTCAGGGTCCTGGGATTGAGCCCCACGCCAAGCTCCGTGCTGCGAGTGGAGCCTGCTGGGGATTCTCTCTCTTCCTCTCCCTTTGCCCCTCCCCACCCCTCTCCTCTCTCAAACAAATAAGTGGATCTTTAAAAAAAAAAAGTATATGACATGAGGATCTGATATATGTATACCCTGTGAAAGGGTTCCCCCATGGAGTTCATTAACATATCCACCACCTTGCATAACTGCCCCTTCTGGCGGTTGCGGGGGGACGTTGGGTCTTTTAATTTTTCTTGAAACAAAGGTATAGAAAAAACTGGAAGAACATAAATATGTGAGTGGTTACATCTGGGGCTACAATACTAGCCAATTTTGTGTCATTTTGTTTATCTGTATTTTCTACTTTTACAAATCATTTTTATTTCTATCAAAATATAATTTAAAAACCAGCAATTATCCTGGTCACGGGAGGCCACCCCAGCAATCATTTTTGTCTCTTTTAGCTATTTCTTGTGCTTTTTACTCTCATGCTTCTAAAAACTAATTGTTACTCCTATTTTTATAAATTTGGAACATCCCTATTATGGTAAGAATTTTAGCTCTGGAAGGATACACAAGAAACTGGGGACAGTTGCTGTCTCTGAAAGAGGAATCAGCAGTTGAGGTGAAACCAAAACACCTTCCAGTATATACGCTTCATCTTTTTTTTAAGTTTATTTTCTTAAGTCCATGTTAACAGCCAGAAAATTATTTTTCTGGCACTCCAATGAAGTATGACACACTCTATCAATATAATTAATGTCGCCCTCAAAGGACGAAAATAATGAACATTTTCTTTCTTTCTTTTGAAGATTTTTTTATTTATTTGAGAGAGAGAGAATGAGAGAGAGCACGAGACAAAAGAGGGTCAGAGGGAGAAGCAGACCCCCCGCTGAGGAGGGAGCCCGTTGTGGGACTCGATCCTGGGCCTCCAGGATCATGACCTGAGCCCAAGGCAGTCGCTTAACCAACTGAGCCACCCAGGTGCCCAATAATGAACATTTTCTAACAGACACAAATATTTCCTATTCTTTGAGTAATGGAGTAATATGAGCATACGGGTATAATCTGATACCTAGTTTGACATTCCTCTGGGGACATTTCCTTCCATTTACAGGTGAGGAAACTGAGGCACAGAAAGGCTAAGTGATATGCTCATAGCTGCACAGCTATTGGCAGGCAGAGCAGTAACTATTAGAACTCAGGTCTCCTAAATTCTACCTCTTCAAGATGGTAGCTTTTTTTTTTTAAGATGTTATTTATTTATTTGAGAGAGACTGGGAGACAGAGAGCATGAAAGGCGGAGGGTCAGAGGGAGAAGCAGACTCCCTGCTGAGCAGGGAGCCCGATGCTGGACTCGATCCTAGGTCTCCAGGATCATGACCTGAGCCTAAGGCAGTCGCTTAACCAACTGAGCCACCCTGGTGCCCCAAGATGGTAGCTTTTCAAATAAAAAAAAAAAATGGTCCTGTTATTCAGAAAACAGATTGAGGAAGTGGAGTGGGAGAGGTCAAAAGTAGGAAAACTAATTTCTAAGAAGTAATCTGGTCAACCAGTATAAGCAGACAGGAATTCAGCTGAAGGCGCTACTTTCCAAGCTTTTGATCCTGAAAAGTTACCTATAGTACTGTACCCCAATCCTGAACCTCTGAGGGAAGGGCTGGGAGATTCCACATAAACTACCAAATATAAAATACAGCTCCATGATTCCTTACCTGGGGGTCAGATAGGTTTCATATTTAAAAATTGGCCAGATTTTGAAAAGGTGACCCTTGCAAGTACCACTTATTTACATAATACCCCTAGCACGGTCTGTGGCAATATCCCATAATCAAGCATGTTCATATTTCTGCAGCAAAACTGTAAAAATTCACACTGAAATAATTAAACCTAAAAACAGCTACACGTCAATCAGTTCAGGTCTGTTTCGTTGATGAAAATCTCTCCATTTTCAGAAAGGTACTGATGTAGCATGGTCAGAACAGGTGTGGGATATCTAATAACTACTCTTTAAAAGAAAAGCGAACGACAAAGATGAGAACTCCCCAGGCCCCGCGAGGAGGCCACCGTTCCAGCCATCATTAGCCTTCTCTTCCTTTCACCACAGAGTCACTGTTGTGAAATTTATCTAATCACCAAAATCACCCCCCTCATTCTTATTAATGAGAAAGAGGTTAAAAGTCCCTCACTATGTACAACCGGTATGTTCCTTAAAATGTGCCTACTTGCATACTGCTAAGTCAGTCTGTGAGCCAAAACCTACACAGAAGCACATTATTTGCTGAAACAAATACTCTATCTGAGCAAAAGTCTGAAAAATGTCATATTCTTCTCCCTTTCTTTTCTCCTTTTTCCTACCAACAGTCTTTATTCAAAAGACAAACACATTGCCTCCCTAACTCCTCCTTTCTTTACCACTACATCTGAATACTTATGAATATACATGATCACAAAAAGGGCTGTCTCTTTCTGGTATTAGCAGAAATAAGGTGGCAGCTACCTAACCTCATACCATTTGGCAACATCATGCTAACTATTAATAAGACATTGTGACATATGTAGAAGAACAACCACAGAAGTGAATAGCTCTCTTATTGTTTCTAAGTGACTGGAACAATATGCTCTTCAATGCTCAAGGTGAAACTAGAAAAGAATGTTATTAAAACCAATCAAAGCAGTGCCTTGGGTGGCTCAGTTGGTTAATCGCCTGCCTTCAGCTCAGGATCTTGGGGTCCTGGGATCGAGCCCCACGTCACGCTCCCTGCTTAGGGGGAAGCCTGCTTCTCCCTCCGCCTCTGCTCCTCCCCCTGCTCATGCTCTCTCTCTCTCTCTCAAATAAATAAAATCTTAAAAAAAAAAAAAAAGCAGAGCTCTTGGTAAGTATGGTATGGGGATTTGTGTGTGCTATTTTATTTTTGCAGTTTTAGGAAGCTGAACCCTCCCTTACAAGTTCTGTGACAATTTAAAATACACTGTAAGTAATAAGTAACAAGAGAAAATTCAGCAAAATAAAAGCTGACAAATTTAACAGCCATAATCTGGAAGTTATGTACTGTACATTTATCTACTATAGTTATCAAATATACCATTTCCTATTCTTGCAAGAGATATTTGAAGTTCAACACATAGGTCATTTTCAGAGAAGTCATACTTCTCTGTGCAAAGACAGAAGTGACGATGGAAGCAAAAATGTGTCTCAGAGCTACAAAATTGCAGTTGGCCTAAGTTTTCAACTCTT